TGTCCCTGGGACTAAATGACAAAGAAACGATTCACCTGCCCTTTTCTGTAAAACAGCCTTAACTGTCTTATTCTGCCCAAAAAGACATGTATTTAAGTGGAAGCTTAATCTGAAATCCATTTTGATCATTTCTTTGAGCGTCACCACAAAAGTAAAAGCTACTCTGACTATTTAATCACCCATTAGAAACCTTAAGAGGGCTGTGTTATAACGAGCCAGGGCGTACAGCAGGGTGAGTGTTGTAAGGCTATTTAAATTGTATGGTACCTATCTATCTTTAAACTGGCAGCTAAATGGAAGATTTAGATTTGAGAGTTCCTGGCTTCTGGTTCCCTGTCAGAAATAATTAAACTACATTTTAGGGAGGCTGTCGTAAGTAGTTTGCTTCACAAGTGTTTTTCACAGCTGAGAGTCTTTATTGCAGCTCTTGGGGCCTGGGAATCCAAACCACCTTATCTATCCATTATATGTGAATTATACATACATAACTTGGAGTCTGCACTGTCTTGTGTGCATGGGTGGTGGTTTGGGTGGGATCTCAGCTGGGTGGGAGATTAAACCCAAAATGCTCCCAGCATTCCTGTTCTGGGTTAACCTAAGATCTGTTTGTTTTACATCATGCAGTGCATATCCCTGGCCTGCATGTGCAAGACTGTTCCTTGGCAGCATGTTGTCTGAAAAATATTTCAGTCAAGATGTAAATGTCCCAAAGGGGTTTCTATCCCTTTGCATAGGAATGACTACACAGAGACTCCACTTTTCAGGAAGTAATTTTTTTCTCTCCTCATAATTTTTGAATGTACTCCATTATTCTAGTTTCACACCTTCAAATTACTCCAAGAAGGCTTCTGACTGTCACTCCAGATAGTTTTCTTTTATCTCTGTTTTTTTTTCTTTCATCACCAATCTGTGGATATCTGACCTACTATGAGCTGCCTTTCCATCTTACCCACAGGACACAGGACTGCATATCAGGACATCAAGGAGGTCTTGTACCTGTCTCAGAGTTCATATATACCTGTGGATCCATCACTTTACTTCCTTATGCCTTGTTTACTTTATCTACAAGGTGCTGCCCCTGAGTCAGGGAAACCCTTGGTATTCATACAGGCTGATGAAGGGAAGGATGAAGGGATTGAGAGCAACCCTGAGGAGAAGGGCTTGGGGGTGCAGCTGGGTGAATAGCTGGACATGAGCTGACAATATGTGCTCACAGCCCAGAAAGACAAACATATCCTGGGCTGCATCAGAAACAGTGTGGCCAGCAGGTCAAGGGAGGGGATTCTCCCCCTCTGCTCTTCTGAGACCTAACCTGTAGTGCTGCATCCAGATCTGGGATACCCAACAAAAGAAGGATGTGGACCTGTTGGAGCGAGTCCAGAGGAGGCCGCAAAGATAATCAGAGGGCTGAGGTAGCTCTGCTATGGTGACAGGCTGAGAGAGTTGGGGTTGTTCAGCATGGAGAATGGAAGGCTCTGGGGAGACCTTGTTGTGGCCTTTTTAGTACTTTAAGGCGGCTTATAAGAAAGACGGGGACAGACATTTCATAGAACCTAGTGATAAGACAAGAGGTAATTGTTGAAACTAAAAGAAGGTAGATTTACGTTAGATATGAGGGAGAATGTTTTTACAAAGAGGGTGGCGAAACACAGTCACAGGTTGCCCAGAGAGGTGATGAATGCTCCATCCCTGGAAACATTCAAGGTCAGGTTGGCTGGGGTTCTGAGCTACCTGGTCTAGTGGAAAGTGTCGCTGATTATGGAAATAGATGATCTTTAAAGGTCCCTTCCAACTCAAACTGTTCTATGATCCTATAAAATAACATTTTAACATCCATCTCAGCCAGAGTTATTAACATTCTCAAACCAAAGATAAACTATTAATTAAATAATAACAAAGTCCTCAAGATGTTCACATGGACTTTGGAGTCACAAGATGCCAAGTCCTCCAAAATGCCCATTTGCCTGGCCATCACTGGAGATACTTGTCTTCTGGAATTTCAGAGCTTCACAGTCAGCAGTAGAGGAAGTTATTCACAGTGCACATTGCTGGGCTCCAGGGTATCAGTGGTATTGCCATTTCAGAGATGGGACCCTGCAGGTCAAAGCTAGGGAACAGGGTATAACGAAGGTGTGAAGTGGCCGAGCTGACATCCCCTGGATTGCTTGGTAAACTGGAAGCAAGAAAAATTACATGAGATCAAAGTTCAACGCTTACGAATAAAAAATATAAACCAGTAACCAAAGAAGGGATTACAGCCCAAGACTAGAGTAGCCCTATGGTGAAAGAGTGCTGGGAAGCACTAGATACTACAGCAATATTTTTTGGAGTTTGGGTTTAAATACCAGTACTCTTAGACTTTCTTAAGGTATTTCTTCACAGCTTGCTGAAATTTTAGCAGCATAAATGAAACTTTCCATTTTTTCTCTGCTGTTTCCTTTATCCTCCCCCAGACTTTGTTCATCAAGTCAGCCAAGGGGGGACAATTTTTTTTTTCTTAATGCAGCTTTGTTGCTATATTAACCAACTTGCAGGTCCTGTGTGTTCATGTACCATCCTAACCAACCCATGCTCAGTTGCAGTGCTGTCTGGCAGTTGAGGAAAAGATTAGAAAACACACATGTCTGGGCTCCAGCCCTTTAGCAAGTCAATAATTGCCCATTCCTTATCTTCCTAACAAGTACTGTAGTATGATATTACCTCCCTCACATCTAGGGGCTGTGAAAATCTATGTCTTGATGCCTGATGCAGAGTAAAATGTTCTGACAGCAACTCAAGAGTCTTTCCTCAGTCATGCCTTTAGTGTTTGATAGTGTAATTTCTACTTCCTTCAAATAAAACTTACATTAGATTCTCTTACATCTCAGCAGCAAGTGGTATGTGCACATACTGTGTTTAAGTACCTAAGATACCCAAATGCTTTTTCCAGGTTGACTCTAAGTGATACAGACAAGTTCCTGAGTGCCTTAAGGCCCTTTGAACTCCAAAGTTCTTTCACTACAGACTTAAATATATAGGACTAAATGTTTGAGAGTGTTTGGAGAAATCCAAGACACTGCAGCAAAAGGAGTTCAACTGAAAACTGTTCAGCCACCCTGAGCTGTATAGGAGGTAGGAGCTAGATATTATTTTCATGTCACATTTGGAAAATCAGGTGTTTTCTAGACATTCAAAGTATTACTATCATTACTATCATAGTTACAGCTGTCCAAAGAACTCTCTGATCCTTGGAGACTGGAGGCCATTTCAGTGTAAGGGGCTGAAGACCTTGCAGCTCTCTGCTAGGGTGCAAAACTTTCCTCCTGGAGTTTACTGGGATGTTCCAGTCCTGTATCAGGAGCATATCAAAAGTCCCTGAACAGCCCAAGTGTCCTGTAAATGGTTATACTAATTAGCAAAAGACGAAAGGCAACTTAAGTAGGACTGAATTTCAGTCAGGTGTGATGTTAATGCAGGCTGAGTAGCTTTGAATATTTTATGTGCAGCCAGTGACACAGAGTAAATGTCTTGTATAATACCAGTCACCTCTCCACCACAAGCCTGGAGGTCCAAATCTTCAGTTAATACGCTCAGAGACCCAAAGAGAAGCACTGGAAATGGGCTGGTGTGTGAGATACTCATTCTGGGGGTGCACAGCTCAGGGAACAGAGAGAAAATGTGCTCTGCAGAGTACCACGGTACCCCTTTGTGCTTCCAGCTGAGTCCTGCTCAGCATTTCTTCTGTTCACATCTTCTCTCTGTGGCCCCAAGAGGAACTGTGTCCCTACCCTGTGAATTCTACAAAATGGCTCAGTCAAGCAGAAGGCTTGAGGCCAAAACATTTGGAAATTTAGAAGTACTGGGCAGAAGCCAGAGAGAAGGAAGAAGACTTGATAGGCTGAAATACTGTGAATTGCCTCTCTTACAACTGAGGAGAGGAGAGTGTAGTCAGGGTTTATTAGAGATCGAAAGTAGCAGTCAGTTGATGAGTCTGGAGAAGAAATAAATTCATTTCATTTCATCTGCAGTACAACACTGCATCAGTATTTGGGTTTTCTTTTTTCCCTTGAAATCAGTCCTATGGAGTAATGGTGGCAATGGACACTTTAACACCTGACTTGTGAGTGCCTCTTCTCCACCAAGTCTCTTTTTCTCCAGGCAAATACAGTGTAGGTGAAAACACAAAGTCTCCCAAATTCATACCAAGACTATGCCAGGTTTTAGACAAAAATCTAGTGCTAGGCAAAAACATTGTGCATGTCCTTATGCCCACTCGGGCTCACAAAGGGTGAGAAGGCCAGAACCCCTGAAAAGGCAAGGTCCTTTTTGGAGGTGAGTACCAAAATATCCAGCTATGACTCTGTGCTTTCATTAGCTCTGATAAACATGGGAACAAGCACCATCGTATCAATTCCAGTGCAGCTGCCTGACCAAAAAGGCATGGTGGTACCTCTGAGTGCCTGGGAGGGGATTTTTAATGGGGTGGTAAGAGAATAGGGACATAGCAGATGTGCAGACTCAGTAGAAATAGAAATATTCTATATTAATTTTGAAGAGAGAAGAAGGATTTTAATGAATCCCATCCCAGAACTGTGGGTTAACAAGCCATAAACAGACTTTGCCAGCACTTAACTTTAGGATCAGTATTTTATCAGTACATTGTTTCAACACTTATCCAAATTTTAATTAAATGTGACTTTTGTTCTGCTTATTGGAAGAGCCTTCCCCTTTGGATTTGGGGATCACAAAAGCTCAAGGAGTGCAAGAGAATTAGAAAGCAAATAGGAGGATCAATCACAGCAGACCCCTGCAATCCATGTCCATCTCGTTTTTGTAATATACTTATTAGATTCTTATTGTCAGGAAGGATTAGTGTTATGAGCTCCAGGAATTCCTTTCATTGCCCCGTAAGGCGAGGTAGTGAAGTGTGTCTGCTTTTCTTAACAATAACAGTCTGGATTTTCCCCCTCTCCCTTCTCTCCACCCATATCCCCTCCTCTCTCTTCTTTCCTCTCCCACAGAGATTTGTGCAGCGGACTGCGGAGGACATGGCATTTGTGTCGGAGGCACCTGCCGCTGTGAGGAGGGATGGATGGGCACAGCCTGTGATCAGCGAGCGTGTCACCCACGCTGCAATGAGCACGGGACATGCCGGGATGGCAAGTGTGAATGCAGCCCGGGCTGGAACGGAGAGCACTGCACTATTGGTAGGGAGAAAGAAAAACCGACTCCTTTTAAAAGAATAATTGATGATCAGGGAGGAGAGAAGACGCATGCTTAATTGAATATGTGTGACTTAGTGTAGCATGAGCACCTTTGTTCTTGAATTTCAAGTTCTGACATCATACATTTTCATGTGGGAACAAGGCAAAATGTCCTTTCATTTGTTGATGGCATAGCTATATATATTTTTTATTATCAGACAAGATGTACACCTATGTGGTGTTTGACAAGCCTTTAAATGTCAGCTAGAAGCTTTTAAAAACACCCCACTTTATCTCTCTTGAGAGGTCTTTCTGTGGCTTCCAAGACTCCTCTCTACTATGGTCACAACATTTTTAGAAACATGCATCTGATTTTAAGTTTTCTTTCTTTTTATTTGCTCCATTATTTGCACTGTCACTTTGCTTGCCAGTATAAAAGAGGAAACTGCAGTCACATGATTTCTGGCTGGTATTTAACTCTGTCTTGCTTATCCCTTGTCTGCTATGCTACCTTTCTAACCATTTCACTCGCCTCTCGCTTTGGTTCTTTATTTCTCATGTACCTGGCATTATTCATGAGCTCTCAGTGTCATGTCTATTATTATTATTATTAATAAGATGCCACCAATATGCCTAAATCATGCAAAGAAGTTCAGTTCTCACATTAAGCAATTTGCAGCATCATTAATGAACTGCCTCAGCTTCACCTTTCTCCTTCATCTCACTTAAATTCTTAATGCATTTTCCCTTCTTCCTTTTTTCTGACTTTTATGCATTCAGCCACTTCTGTCCCCATTCTGTAGTCATGCTATAAAATCAGTAACATTAAACTCCCCAGATACCTTTCATTACACGTTAATAGAAAACTAAATTAATGACTCCAGTTCTGTTCTCAATAATACCTGTGTGGACCTGAAAAAATTCAGTTGAATTTAGAAGAATTGTTCCAGAGTGAGAATTCTCCTCCAGTCATTTTATTTTAATCAGTTTCTTTTAAAGACAAGAAAATTTACCTCTATATTGCTTTCATTATGCCAAGATAGCTGAAAATCACACTACATCAAGACTAACCACTAGCAATACCTGGGCAAATGTCATTGTAGTTATTGTGTGGATTATCAGCTTAGTTATATGTAGACATCACTTACTTTGCTTGAACACCAGGTGCGTTTGCACACGCAAAGACAGACAGGAAATGAAGCCTGATCACAATATTTTAATTTCAGCATTAGGGTAATTGTACAAACCATATCCGTGGCTCAATTCTACTTCTCATTTATTTATGCTAATGTCACTCTATCACATTATGGTCTCCACATGTACCCTCCTAATCAAAAATATCTAGCTTTTAAAACTTCCTCTGTCTCATTAGTCATCATATTCTGCATTCTTTTCTATGTCCCTAGCAGCTTTCATTTCTTTTTGTGAGAAAGGGATTAAAAATCCCCCTTTCTTAAATTACTTTAAAATTAAGAAAGAAGTCCTGTGTTAATTGAAATCCTGGGTTTCTATAATGTTATTTTATAGCCTTTTATTCAAGCAAGTTATTTGGAAAGCAGCACATGATTCATGAAAGGGTTTTAAAAGAAAAAAAATAAGTTCAACAAAAGGCCCCAAATCCAGGGGACAATTTTATGTGAAAGTTATTTATGCAGAAAAAAAAAGTCTGATTCATACCCTCAGTGCCATTTTATCAGTTCTGCTGCAAAACCAAAATGCCATTAGTTTGGTATATGATATTTCTCCACATAGCTGATATGCTCAGACTGTTTTCCAACAAGCTTTTATCTTTCATGGTAATTAAATTTATTTGTAGTGTTCCTCACTCTAAGTATAAAGAATCCATGTTATCATGGGAAAGGTCAGCACTGCAATGCAGTCAGCATTGAGATTTTATTGGTGCACACTATCATTTCGTGTGCTACTACCTTCCTATTGCAGCACTGCCTTGGTTTAGGAATCATTCTTTGATACTTAGAGTGCTGGAGCAATTCTGTTTCTTTTCACTTTCCCCCCTCCTCATCTTCTTGCATGGTGATTGAGCAACAAATTTGTACATAGTCTCCTGCCTCTGAAGCTGTAAACACTATTTCCTCCAGAATATTTCATTGATGAATGTGTAGAATGTAAAGGAGATTTGGCAAAGTCATAAATATCCAAGAAAATTGAATAGCTTTAGCAGGAGTAATAAGCTAGTTATATTGGCACAGATGAAAGGACATTGACTTGGAATTACATTAAGTATGTGGAAAGCATTCCCCTTGTCCTTGTGTATTTTCCCTGCATGGCAACTTGTTCTGTTGATAATAATTCCGTATATGTCTATGTCATGGCCCGGTTTGCTTTAGCACTGACAAGCATAAAACCCCATTGCTGAAGTGATGCTTTACCAATATTGCCATGTGTGCAGGTAACATGGTAGAAATGGATGATACAAATAAGGGACACTCCTTCTGTTTCCTGTCAAGCATGTGTGAGAGTAAGAAATCCTTCTGTTTTGTAGGTCATAGGAGGCTCTTTATTATGGTGTACAAGGAACTCTGATCCTAGTGGATTAATTTTATTTGCTCCTACGAAGAGTCATGTCACCAAATGTACTAGCTTGATTGCTCACATTCAGAGACTTCATTAGAGGAACCCCAGTTAACTCCCAAGTAGGAAATTGATGCAGAAGCTTGCATTCATCATCCCAATTCAGCGAACTTAGTGCAGGAGAGTAGAGCACAAAGTTGATTATCTAACTGCAGGAATCCTGAAACCCAGTAGAAGGGTTTGGTTGATTTCTTAAAGGAACAAAACACACCATGACAACAGCCTCAATGCCAGACTCCCGTGACAGGCTCTCCAGCATATTCCAAATTCATCCACAGTTAGGAACATTGCAGGTTTTTTCTATTCTGGCCCAAACCACATCCAAGGAGCATGGTGAGTTTTAGGAGCATTGAGTTTAAAGGTGAAATAAACTCTCTTACTGTGGGCTCTGAAAGGCCAAATTATAGCTCAGCTCTGTGGTAGGCTGCTCTAAGGGTTTGATTCACAGAAAGCAGCACAGAAAATTTCATGGGTTTAATAAAGAATCATAGAATCACAGAATGGTTGGGCCTGGAAGGGACCTTAAAGATCATATAGTTTCAACACTCCTGCCATGGACAGGGAACATTCCACTGGGCAAGGTTGCTCAGATGGGGCATCCACAGTTTCTGTGGGCAACCTGCGCCAGTGTGTCACCACGCTTATATTAAAAAATTTCTTCCTAATACCCAATCTGAACCTACCCTCCTTCAGCTTAAGGCCATTCCTCCTTGTCCTATGACTACATGTTCTTGTGAAAAGTCCGTCTCCAGCCTTCTTGTAAACCCCATTTAGAACTTTAGAAATTTCCCAGGGCAGTAACAGCCTGCCCCCAAATTTGATAGAGTTGAGGATATTGCCTGGCTAGTGCCTCAGGTGCTGTGCATCTGTGGTGGTTTGAAACTCCCAAGAATCTAATTTCTAAGTTCAAGCCCCCCCTCCCACAGTTTGCCCCTGTGAGAGGGTTTAGTGATGGTATGGACTTGATATCTTTTTCACCCTGTGTGGAGAGTTTTCAGACAAAACACAACCATTCATTATTGGGGGAAGGGGAAAATATTTACAAATGATTATTTACACCCACATATATATTTACACTACATTAAATTTCTCCCGTTCTTCAATAAAAGTCCAAGAAGAAAAGAGAAAAGTCTTTCTGTCACTCCTCAGGCCACAGTTCCTTCATTTCAGTTTTTTGTGGCACTGGTTAGTGTCCTTCATTTTCCTGAGGCAGCAGATTTAAGTATGGCAGTCAGGATTTTTATTCTTACTTTGTGGAAATTTCAACCCTGAGCCCGAGCCTTCGGGGGATTTCCTTGTAGATCTTCACTCCTCTTGGGTTAGAACATTGAAGGCAGCTTTCAGTTCAGTCTTAGCAACGTTCTTTTGCTCTGTCTCAGCTCGACAGCTTGATAGAAACAGCAACAGCAGCAGCAGAGGGCACGGCCACCTCCTCCGCATTCCGTCCTGGCTCAGCTCTCAGGACAAACTCCGGGTTTTCAGCTCCTTTCTCCCTCTCTCTAGCTGCTGCTGCATTTCGGAACTCCCTAAGGGTTTGGAAGTCCACCCCTCCTCTTCAGAAAGTCTCTGGTTTTTGAGAAAATAATACAGTCTTACCTCAAACCAGCTCTGTTGAGTTTTCCTCCGTTTTGTTGCCAGCTCTCCCTCCTGCAGGAACATCTCTGCGTCTTTCAGCCGGCTTCACGTTATCTCGTTGCTGCTGGCTATCTTTTGGCTTTTAGCCATCGCTGTCTCTGTTCAGGGCTGCTCCACTGCCGCTTTCAGTGTCTTCTGCTGCTGCTGACAGTAAGGAAACTTTTCCAGCTCTTGATTATGGGACCCGGTCCAGCTTTGACACTATACCGGGTCTCCTGTAACCTCAGCTGAGGGCTGGGGGCCCTTGGCACCCAGAGGGGCTCACTGGCCCCCTGCCTCCTCGTGGCTCAGATCGTGGCTACCCACCTTCTAAACTATCTTCACCACCTTCTCTTCCGTTTCTGTAATTTCCGTAGGGCGCACGTGGACTATTGATTGGTCCAGTATTATCAGTGGGGCAAACCATTACTACCTCAGAGAAAAGGTTTTTCAAACCACCACAGCATCCCACCTTGGAGATGTAAGGGGAGAATTCACTCTGCCTACATGGGCATTGCACTGAGGTGGTCTCTAGTATGTGAATCTCTTTGTATGACATTTTACTCCCAGCAACCCTTAATTTTATGATTCATATAGGGTTATTTAGAAAAATGATGGCAGAGAGGGTTTCCCTGTGTGGTGGAGTTGGGATGTTCACCATTCTTGAACAGCCTGGACACAAGAACAAAGCTATCCCTGGAAGTTCAGTTGCTTCAGCTGAATACCTCAGGGTCTCTCTCCAAATAGTCAACAGCCTACCAGCAGGATTTCAAAGCACCTCAGTGCCTAATTCCCACTGATCTCCACAAAACCTACATGCTTAACTCCTTTAGAAAATCTGGTCCTGTCACGCATGGGTGATGTATGCAATAACAGTGCCCAGACAGACAGGCAGACAGCCTGTCCCACACAGGCTTCTGCTTATGGCACCGTCAGCCTAGGTTTTGTTTTACTTAGTGAAACTCTTATTTTTGAGAAATCTACCCCTTTAAAGTTCGCCTTTCATCATCCTTCTTGCATAAATAATCACACATGTTCTGAATAGCTGGGGTCGTAATCAGTGCCTCTCCCTTTCGGCTGGAGCAGCTGGAATCCAGACAAGGCACGGGTGGATCCTGATCTCTTCTCCTCAGCTTTCTAACACATCAATTGTGCCGTTTGAATAAAGCAACTCAGTCCGTGCATGGCCCAAGATAAAAATAAGCTCGCCAGTGTCTGGGGAAGGTTCTCACTACCTTGTAGATGTGGTGCTTAGGTACTTTAGTGGTGGACCTGGCATCTTCAGGTTAATGGTTGCACTCAATGATGTTAGAGGTCTTTTCCAACTTTAATTATTCTGTGATTCTACCCTCAGCCCAACAGAGCAGTCAGCACTCAGACATATGCACAGCAGAAGTTGAGCTGTGTTTGACCCTCTGGCACCCACCCTGCCTTTACTCTGGTTTGGATGGGTACCTTTGGGCAAGAGAATACCATGATTATAGCAGTCAGTGGAAAATACGTGCTTTCCGCTTTGTTCTGACATGATCTTGCATCAAACTGAAGGTAATCTGTCCTGAAGTAGTTTGGCAGCATATTTCACAGTAAATATTAAGCCCAGATGAACTTTAAAGACAGTCTTTTCTCCTGCCCCTGTTACATAAACTTCTTGTGCCATTCAGCAGTGGATGTCTGCTTTCTCCTCTCCTTCACATTTGTGTGATTTCAGTTGAGTTCCAGTGATTTCACTGAGGCTCTGTCCACTTCACACCATGGGAAAGATAAAGGGAAAAAGAATATTTGGAAAATGAAGAAGAGTGTGCTGAGGAGAAAGTCCTTCTCAAGGACCTGCCTGCAGCATCGCTCGCTTCTCTCTTCCTTTCCTCCCTCTCTGTGAGCCAAGGGAAATGCTCATGTTGTCCTTCCTAATGCATTCAGACAAAGCAAACCAAGTTAACTCAGGCTAACTTGGTGAAAAGAGAGGGCTTTCACACTGAAAAATGCTCACATAGCTCCTCCTGTAGCAGATCTGAAGTGGCTTCCAGGAGGAATATGGTGACATGTAGCTGAGTGTGGTGCTGCCTTTAGGTGCAGGGGACATCTTACAAAACTAGCTTTTTTTCTGAGCTCCTGCATAAATCCTCAGCATGTCCCCCATGCCCACAGGGTTTCCAAAAAAGTGTTGGTGGGGAACAAGATGATACTTTAATGCCAGAAGTATAACATGGGAATGAGCCTATATGGGTTTAAAAAAGATTCCTACTACCATGGAATACTTCCATAGAAAGCCCCATTATTTTTCAAATTACAAGAAAACATTGACACATAACTGACACATGGTACTGGCAGCTGCCTCCACTGCCATCAGCTGCACAATTCACAGGTTGAGCTGCTGTGGACATCAAAATCCAAGAGACACACTCCTAGGCTTTAGCCATCACCCAAGCAGATGGTGAGCTGTGCTTTCTGCATCACTCCCACTACACCAGGGGGATTAATTCACCTCCTTGCCAAGTCTCATAACTGCCCCATAATAGGTTAGCTCTGATCCTCCCATCCCTCCCTGCTTATGGACAGTAGTTCTTCAATGGATCCATTAGATTCACAGGATGGAAATTCCTGGAAGGGCTATGACCTCCCAGGTGGGCAGCCTGCCTGAATGAACCTGAAACAAAAAGCTCTTCAAAAGGTACCAGGACACAACTGAGAGATTGCAGGGAGCAGGCAAGAGAACAAGGGAAATTAAGTAGGTATTGAAAGAGAGAAATGCAAGACTCAGAGCCTCTTTTTTCTTAATAAAGACCAGCTGGTGTTAGGACAGAGAGTGCCGCCTGCTGGCATGCACCAGGACCCTCTAAGGTAGGGCTTCTGCTTATGTCTTTGCCACCAACTTTCTGTTTGATGCCAGAAAATCAATTAGAAGGTGGTTTTCCAAATTAATGTTCCATGGGAATTGGGCACGTGACTGCTCCCATGACATCTATAACTTTCTTTTTTACATTTTTTTTAGCCCTTCTTGGAATGAGTTTATTAATACTTGCCTATCTGATAGAGCTTCCATGAGGTTAATTTAATATTTGTAAAGTAATTTGATCTGGGGCTAGAGGATGCTGTATAAATGCAACGTATTACCATTACAAAGATCCAGGGAAAAGCCTCTCCCAGCCTGATAACGTCACAGAACTGTGCCTCTTTGTGTGGAAAAATATAAGACAATCAGGTGAGGTGGAGCACATTCAAATGACTCTGCCTTTCCTGATAAAAACCAAAGCAGTCAGAAAAATGGAGGTAGACTTGCAGATGAGCAGAGCATTCTGATATATATACATATACACCTATATATATATATTTATATAAAAACACATCTATGTATATATATAACTTTCCTGTTTCTCTTCCTGATTTTAATGAGCAAAGATGACTGGATGCCTAAACACAGCCTTTTCAAGCCTTTTGACTGAGGAGCACTGCGCTCCACCGTTCTTCCTTTTTTTTTCTCCTCATAATCAAGGTTTTTCTTTTCATATCACAGCAAACTCTGCCTTTCTAGCACCTGCACAGTCTCATAGTAAGCTGCAATGCACTTATTCAATCCTACCTTAAATGTCCTGTCTTTTATCTCCCAAGCTCACTATCTGGATAAGGTAGTGAAAGGTATGCTCTTCCTTCCTATTTTTCCTATTGTCTTTGTGTTTCTTTTTAAAAAAATGCACTGTGAACATGATGTGTTGAGGTTGCATCTCTTCCTCATTATCACCAAAGTGCTCCCTAATGTCTGGAAGGGTGAATTTTCCAGTCATTTAGGTAGGAAATACCTCTGTAAGTGCTGTGACCCTGTGTTAACATCGTATCAGTGTTCCTACCCATTCCCTTGTCCCTGCCCTCCCCTCCAAATCATCTCTTGTCTTCACCCTTCCTACTCAGGTAAGACAAGTCAGTAGGAAACAAAAGTGTCTGTGAATACAAAAGGAGCCCGTATAGTAATGTGTTTTAATTAAATGTCTATGGTCTGTTTTGTAACACAGGTGAGTGCACTTTCTGTGTGGATTCCTCACGTTTTTGATCCATGACTTCCAAGTCTTACGTGGGAACTTAAACTAATGATATATTGTTGTTTTGGTTTTTTTCCTGAAAAAAAATGTTATGACCTCAAAGCCTCTGGTTGCATAAATCTGAAATTAATAATGTTACATTAATGTACAGTACAACAAAATCCAACCTTAGCTCCAATTTGTAAGTGTAAAGCAAGTCTGGGGCCCAGGTCTTTCTTCGAAAAAGAAGTAAAGGAACTGAACTGTTAAAGAACAGAGATCATCTGCTATCTTTAAAAAAATGCAGTTCTTTATTAATCAGAACAATGAGCTAAATTAATTTAGGAGTTTTTAATAGAAATAGGCATTTCCAAAATGCACTTAGTTTTTGAAAAATATTGAAATGGCATGCATATGGTTAAATACAACAATCTGACAATAAACATGATTGAATTGGACACAAATATCTTTCTACATGACTGAATTGACACTAAGAGCAACACAGTGCTGAAACCACGCAGCATCATATGTTTGCTGGTTAAACAAACTAAAAAAATTAGGTTGAACAAATCCATTTTTTCTGTAGTATTACCCTCCTTTTCAGGTTTTGAACAATCAGATATAGCAACTGTGAGAGCCTGATGATGAAGAACAGATATGCCTAAATACTGGCCCAGTGAACAGTTAAAATGAAGTCTCTACCTTATAGAGCTTGTGTGGTGTGACAAGAAACATGGTTGCCCTACTGACTTCACTTCTCGGGATGAATTTACGATTTAATGTTTCTCTATTTTTTTTCCATTAAGGCTTAAAAGCAGGTTCAGGTACAATTACAAACAGGTAAAAATCTTTGAACAGACAAATATTTATGATGAGGAAATATCCACAGTTTTAAGGCTTCCATCTTCAGTGTAGTGCAGCGGCTGGTAGCTGTCCTTGGACCCCTGTTTATAGATCAGTAGATTGTTCAGTGGTAGTTAGTTTTCTCTAATTGCTTTAGCACCAGTAAAATATCCTCAACTTTATTCATATTAGGAGGAAAAAGTACATCTTCTGTCTTAGATCGAGCAAAGAGGGTCACTTGTTGTGCCCTTATGAAGTAATAGGTGGCGTTCTCAGAGGAAGATGTGGATCACCACTAGGGAGTGCAATTAGAACCTCCTGTTAATATTTCACATCTCAGTGTTTTGCATTTCAGAACCCCAGGACTCCTTTTCATCTCAACCTGTATTGGAGAAGGTTGCATCAAAAGGTAGCAGATAAGCATTGAGGGGATAAAAAGATGAGAAGTCAACCTGCGGAGCCTGGACAAGAACCTTCAGTACAATTTGCCCATTCAGTGACTCAGTTTTTTAACTAAGTCTTCTATAGCTGTCATATTCCCTCTGGGAATATCCCCCTTTTTGACTCACCTTTATGCCCAAGAATAAAGACAAATTATATTTAGTGAGGATTTTGGTAGGTAACAGGTTAAGCAACATACTAAGAATAAAAGATTGTCTCTTGCCATGCATGGCTTATTTTGGAAAGATTAGCAATAGCTGAAACATTAAAAGTACATGTTTTTTTACTTGGCTAACTGCATGGTGTGCATTTTTCAAAACTAAATTACTCATGCCCTTTTGGCTTTCTTAATTATTAACATCTTTCTGGTTGAAATCCCTTCCCAGTAATCCTCTGTTGTCAAGGGTGAGCCTGATTTACTGCTGAATCTTTCCTAGAGCTTTACAATAAACCAGAAAGTCAGAAAAGATGCAGAATTGTTTCTAAATTGGAGGGCAAATTTCAATAGCAAACATCAGCATAATTAAACCAAGAAGCTCTAACAAGACTCAGAGTGGAGTCTTCTAAACTAAGGCCTAATTAACACTGCTAATGCTTAAAATGAACAGAGGTGCCTATTATTTTAATAATAATTCAAAGAGATGCTGATTTTAGAGAGACCTTCTTCATCCAGAATATCATTGGATCTGATGGTACATCAACAAAATTAATTTCTGTTGCTGAATATCAATTCTTACTCTTCAAAAATTAATATTAACCACATTAACACTGTAGTGAGGCATATAAACAGCTAGTCTGAAATGTAAAGTTGCTGAACAACATTTGAATTCAGAGATGGCTGCAAGGTAACTTCTTTGGGCTGCTCCTGAAGCTTGAGAGCAAGTGAGAACCTAAGGTCTGACCACAGTCAGTTCCCTCATTTGTACAATTAAAAACTGTAGGAGCTCTGGCAAGTAACTTTGTAACCTTCCTATTACAGAATGGATCTGATCAAGGATTTCTGGATTCCCACCATCACAAAATATCATTGTGATAGTTTCAGAGTTGCATGGGTCTGGGGACACTTTGCCAAATTTCTCATCATTTGCAGGAATCAGCTGATGCTTTGCTCCTCAGCCTCAGTCCTACAGAAGCTTCTGCAGATGTCTCTTACTTGTTATTGTTCTCTGAAGCTCCAGGTGCTTGCATCCTCACATGTTGCATTCAGCCATGTCCTACTCGTCTCAGAGCTCAACTGCTGTCTGTGGGACTTGCCAGGACATCCATCAGTGCTTTCCTACTGATAATAAATAGTCTTATCTTCTAAGTCCAATTTGAAGTGGCAGTGAGGTTTGTCTTGAAGAAAAATCCTACTGAACATTGTTTATAACTGGTCTAATTAGAGAAGGCTTTAACTGTAGAGATCATGAAGAGCAGATTATTTTACCAACAATCTTAAAAATGGCAGGATAACTTCTGCTGACAGTCTCCTTTGACTCTGATACCCTTTTCTTGTCTAGTTCAAAATTAGCCCACTTTTTATATTGCTTCCCTGGTCTGTTCTGTCTCTTGCATGGCAGTGTGAATGCCCTCCAGAATCATCATCTTTCAGCAGCAATTTCATGTGCTTAAATTGGAAACTCATATAAAGGGTTTCTTCCCCCTTTTCCCCAAAAAACCTATTCATATGTTTAATTCTCTTAGTCACTCAAGTACAGCTAACACCACAGACAGGAATAATGGATCATTAATGACTTCTAGCTATGAGAAATCAGAGCTGCAAGATTATGCTTGTGTAAATCTGTGAGGATTAAGCCATCCTGCTGTGTTGATATTCAGAAGCACTTTGGAAACAAGATGATCTTTTTGCTTTATTCCCCAGCATGGAGGAAAGGAGAGGATGTTTATTTGTATCGTCCTTTCATCAAGCACTTTAAAGTGCACTGTTTGTGGAATGAAGAATATTGTACCTTCTTGTCCCTGTAGTGTAAGTGATGGTCAAGTCTTTATGCAGTGAACCAGTCTAGAAATGGTATTACTTATAGGTCCATTCTCCTGGATATATTGGTTTACACATCTGTGTTGTCTTCTAACTTTCTGAAGGTCCAAGTCCTCTGTCAGCTGCTGTTCCTTTTTTTTTTTCTATTAATGGTTTACTTTCTCATTACTTCTTAAAACTGTCTACTCTCCTACTAAACCATGCCACTGGAGAGGTTCAATTTAGTCCTCACAGCACTGATAGTTTAAGGAACCTTCTAATGTAATGGTTAACATCTGAAAACTTTTATGTTCCTGTACCTGTGATGAACCATTTGTGTCATTAGGAAACAGTTCTTTCTGGCTCCTTGAAAGAGCCATTAGGAACCAGAGGTGACTGTCTCTTTAGCAGGAAAAGACAAACTTACTTGCTACACTTGAAAGATGCCAAGAGAGTACAGTATGAAGTTACAGGTGGGAGTTATCCTACTTTAGGTATCTACAGCATAAATGTTGATATCTCATCTAGTCACCCTGGATTGCCTTAATAGTCAAGAAAAGGAATAGATACTTTTGGAAGGCATAATCTCATGAGGTACTCACTCTCTTCTATCTCTCCTCTCCTGATTGATGCTTTTCCTCTTTTTGTCTGCTTTCTGAAATGCTTGGTTTACTTTCTCTGGGTCCAGATCAAGAAGATTCAGAGGAAAACCTGAAAGTCCATTCAAACACATTTAATGTAGACAATGAATTGCACGCACAATTCAAAGACACAGAACTGAAAGGGATCTCCTCAGTTAGAGTCCAGTCTTCTGTTAGCAAGGGCAACGACATTGTGTAAAACTTTATATAAATAATTTACCGAGCTCTATGGATAAATAAGTTAATCTTCTTCTCCTTAACACTCTACAGCAAGGCTACTCCAGAACTTCATTCCTTTGATCCTAGTAAATGTTTTTTTTTCTTTCTAATTTCCAGCTAGAAATTATTCATACTTGGTTTATGTCCAAGAGCCTGTTCTTATACCAGCATTATTCTCTTTACCTTAAAAAGCTGCTTTCCCTTCTCAATTTTTATCTGTTTCATGAAGTTGTGGAAAACGATCATACTCTTTTCAGGTTTTGCTGTGCTCTTCTCATTTCCTCAGATGCAGAAGGTGCCTCATTCAAACTATGTCACCCGTTTTCTGCCACTCCAGATTCCCTTTCTCCTGAACCTGGGAGAACAGAGCACATGCAGTTCTATATAAGCTCCTGGTTTTACAGTTTTTCCTTATATTTGCTGGACACTCGTCACAGAAAGCATTTGAAGATCATGGTGTCTTCAACTTCTCATCATTCAACTTGTTTTCATTCTCAATGCTCTCCTGTCCAGGTCAACACTACAGCACTTTTGCAAGGAGTTTTCTGCCCAGTCTCTTCAACTGTAGGATAGAAAAGAACTTTTTAGGGTGGGTTATAAAGAGTCCAAGCGGTGAAAACATGAGATGTGCTCAGTGGTGATGCACCAGCCAAGCTCTAATGGAGGCATACAGTATACACATAACATGCACAGTGAGATTTATTCTGAGTTTTTTAATCTTGACAAATTTAAACCATGGAGCAGGTTACCCAGGGAAGTTGTGGCTGCCCCATCCCTGGAAATGTTCAAGGACAGGCTGGATGGGGCTTTGAGCAACCTGGCCTCCTGGAAGGTGTCCCTGCCCATGGCAGAGAGGTTGGAACTAGATGACTGTTAAAGTCCATTCCAACCCAAACTGTTCCATGATTCTGTGATCCTCTGATTTATAGAGAGAGGGGGGAAAAGTCCTATCTCTACCACCAGGATGGTCCCATCCAGACTGAATTTATTTACTCCAAAATGGGATTACCTACCTAGCTAAGTAATTTTAGGAGGTTCTTTAATACAAGTCTTCCTTTGTCATTCTCCAAAACAGCTGAATGCTTTCAGTTTGTACTGAAAGTAGGTAAAGGGAACAAACACATAAATTAGCTCTACCATGGAAAAAACCAGATTAAATCATTAAAAGTTTGGCACTGTTGTAGGTAACTGAAGGCTGGATAATTGGAAAATTTCAAGTAGCCTTGCCTATAAAGAGCTCTTATGTAGTATATAAGTACTAGTATAGTGTATAAATACAAAAATGCACACACGGCAGCATGCTCACACGTACACACACATTATGTGCCCCATCCCAGAATACACATTTTAAAAGACTGAAAGGCTGAAAAGTATGTTTGTAAATACTGAAAAGTATGTTTGTAAATGAAAAATTTATTTAAGATCCTTTTAAAGGACTTTTCCCTACCACCTTTGTTCCTTTTTCCACTTAGTCCCTGAAAATCTGCCATTTGTTAGAAAAACAGTCCTAAAATATATTTTTTTTTTCCTGCTTACTGAATAAAGTTCTGTGAACTAAAAAAAGTTCGCTGAGAAACAGTTTTTTATTTTAAAGGCATTTCTGAACCCCATTTCCCCAGTGCAGGACACACGATGACATGGGGTACCCTACATGCTGTCTCACCACTTCATTGGGCAGACCCTCATGCATCATGTGATCAACCAGATGTTGAGAAAACGCACACCTCTTCATCCCGTGGTAACCCTTTAGGACGGGGTACGTGTGTGTCATTCACGCAGGTTCACAAACCTGTCTTACAAAGTTGGGGGCCTGAAAACACTCAAACTATGTGGCAGGATTGCTTAACACACATATAAATAGAGAGAGCATTAAAACAGGACTCAGGAAGACTGAATTGTGTTCCTGGTATAATCAGTCCTGCTGAGTGACCTTGACAGTCACTTCAGTCCCTTGTACTTCAGTTTCCTGAGCTGTTAAATGTCTCTCACATTTCAAATGGCTTCTTGGTAAAGATTTTTGAGCTCTGCAGATAAAAAGCCCCCAGAAGTGTATAAGCTAAGCAGCCTCCCTCACACCACTTTCCTATGGAAATTACTCTGCTTGTTTTCTTGAAGGGGTGTGGTGTAGGGGTAAGTATGGAAATCTCAGGAGGAGGTCATCAGATGAGAAAATCAAGCCCTAGTAAGCAGACTGGGAGTTTGGTGTTCATTCTCCCTAACTAATTTTTATCACCTATAAAAGAAATGCCTGCCTCTATGCTGGGGTCTCTGTAGTCACTGGGGAGAAATGGGTTCTTCCAGAGCACGTTTCAGCTCATCACCATGAGCATCCAACTCATTGCCATGGGACAATCTGTTTCTCTGCCTACTACAGAGAGTTGATGGTATCTCTGTTATAGATTAGTTCTAACTGGATGAGATGAATCCCACCCAAAATTACTACAGTAAAGAAACTGTCTCTTCCAGATATTTCCTGCATTCCCTTTCCAGCTGGCTTTGAATGCTTAGCAGTCTGAGAACTCAGTATGACTGAAAGCCAGCTGCTTTATTCCTCTGGGTTTTGAGAATTTTAACCCAAATGAATTTAGATAACCCCAAATCTTGGTCTTATGTAGCAAATGTTTTGAGAGACTCAGAGAGCAAAGCGCTGCCTTGCTTTTACAACCAATGAAGCAGGAAAATCTCAGTGCCTCTTCAAAACTTACAATTCCCTGAGTCCAATGAGTTGAGGCTATGCTGTGAGGACCTCCTGGGAGAGCCGGAAGCAGCAGCCCATTGAGTGGTCACCATAGCCTGATACCAAACTGGGTTTGTTCCAGGTGGGAAGACAACAAAATGGGAATGGAGAAATAAACTGAAGGCAAAGGGAAAAAACTGTTTAATTATCCCCTTTCCAGGCTCTGTTCCTTTGTCTTTCCAGTGCATTTGAACGTATGGCTGTTTGCCTTGCAGAGGGATGCCCTGGCTTGTGTAACGGCAATGGCAGATGCACTCTGGACATGAACGGCTGGCACTGTGTCTGCCAGCTGGGCTGGAGAGGAGCAGGCTGTGACACTTCCATGGAGACGGCATGCGGTGATGGGAAAGACAACGATGGAGGTAGGACATGAGCACATGTGATATGTCAGGCTTTGCAGAGCCTATAAACCTCTCACAGTGAACAGTCAGCTGGGCTTGATTCTGCAGGGCAGATTGTTTTTTGACAGCTGGTAGAAAACAGACAGCAAAGTCTGCCAGGCTGACTCAGCCAGAGTGGATTGGAATTCAAATTAAATAGGTTTGGACTTGGAGTGCCAGGACTGAAGAGGGACGTTTGTTTATCCTCAGATAAAGTCCATATACCAGAGAGCAGACAGAGGCTGTGCACCTGTCTTATCCCTCCACCCCAGCCTAGTGGCTCAGCAGTGACACAATGGGATCACCTCAGACAGTGAACATTCCTAACTGTTCAAACTTTGCCCTCACTGCCTGAGGTTTAATTAAGGCTCTCTGGTAGGTCACTACTGACTTGGGGAAACAGGGAGGCTTAGGTGACTGATCCCCATGCCCACAAGCCGTCCAATCCCTCTCAAACCATGTTTTATTGATTACTCTTCCATATGTAATGGTGTCAGGCATGTGAATAATAGCTCTGTGTAATGCAAACTTAATATTCAGAGTTATCTCATTACAAAGGAAACCATGGTGCAGTGTGAAGGTTTGAATTAGGGAGCAGGAGATGAGATATTAAATTTAAGGCATAAGGGAGACTGCATAATTTGTTTTGTTGTCACTCAGCAAAAGGCTTTGTAAACCACAAGTCTGGGCCAGGACCCAGATTGTGAAGAGGAGACTGCATTTTGCAAGCCTCTGTTTTATCATAGTCACAAGAACCATACAGTTAAAAAAAAAATGTAAAAATAGCCAAGCCAAGACCATGATTATCTGCTTCACAGCAACTGGGATTCTGATTGAATATTTAAAATACTTCTGCACATCTGGCACTGCAAATGGACCAAATTATCCCTTTAGAAAATATGGAAAGAATTGGAGAACCATGCAAAGGGTACACACTATAAAACGAAGATGGCTTTTTAGCTCATATGGAACTGAATATCACTGTACTCATCTTTCCTATTTACAGCTGACACAGGGCAGCAATAAAGTGCATTGCATCAGATGTGTAAAAATATGGTAAATAGACCCAAGTATAATCCCAGTTTCCACAGGAAAAAAATAACCAACAAAACCCCTGTGAAGTTTTTAGAAAGAGAGAGAGGGAAAGAGTAATCCAGCCTAACGTACAATTTAGACCACAACTGTATGATATCAAAAAGAGTATGACCAGACTTTGAGCAGGTTGGTGGACCACCATCTCCTCATCTCCTGGTTCAAGGGCTAACCTTGTTACCTGGGTTACCCTCACCTTGAAATGAGCTGCCTTGCTACCCTGCAGGACAGCAGATATAGACAGGAGAGACAAAAGGCATTGACATGTTTACAAGTTAGTGCACATCAGCTGCTAACTTGCATTTGGTGAACTTGTGTGGAGCAATGGTGTGCACAGAGAACAGAGCAAGGTTGTAACTTATTGCCTTGTGACAGCTTATTCATGTGTCAGAGCCCACAAATGAGTGTTGACTTTATTCTTGGCACACTCCTTAAAAAAAAGCAGGTACATGATGCACATTACAGATTACAGATAAACCATCATACACTATGCTTTTGATTTGCCTGTGTTACTGCTAAGGACTCTCCACAGCTGGGAAGTGGAACAGTGGAATACATTTACCTTATTGGCTTGATTTTTATACATTTTTATGAATCATTTGTATTTGTGAGCTCAAATCTAGAATTTCAACCTCTGAGATGTGGGGGCTTGAGCAGTTGTGAGGCACTTCTGTTTTGAAGCCTTAGTCCTTAGTTTGGCAGAGAGATTCAAATATAGTTACACATGGACTGATAAAGAAAAGCTTATTCTCTGCCTGTTTGCTAGGTTTTATGCTGATTTCTGTGGCAAGACAATTTGGAGATCTTTGTAGAACATCATAGCATAATTTAGGTTGGAAGGAATCTCCAGCAGTCATCAGTTCAACCTCCTGCTCAAGACAGTACTGATTACATCAGGTTGCTCACAGCAAATATTGAACACCTCCAAGGACAGAGATTCCAACTCTCTGGACAACCTACTCCAGTATATGGCCATCCTTATAGTAAATGTTTTTCTCCTAATACCTAATCATAATTTTCTGTGTTCCAGCTTAATGTTTGTTGCCTTTTGTCCAGCACCATCTGAGACATCCTAGAGTGCCCCAGATGGCTTCTGGCTTCCCCTTTACAACAGCTTGGTTCTCTGATAGAACATACATATGTTTTATGTGTGACACCTCCCTTTGAATCTCTCAGATATCCAAAGGCAACTCAAATGACACTAGGCAGCTGTGTTTAGAAGCAGAACTGAGTCTGTATTTGTTGCACCCACTTTGTCACCACAGATATTATTGGGAAGCTGCTGTGCTTTGAAGAACACTGAAGAGATGTATGCCGGAAGCCTCTTCAAAAAACATGTAGTATGTGGATGAGCACTATGGTTTATCCTCTTTTGGGATTGCAGTCACTGGAGTGATGCATGCTCAGGGCAGGAGAAAAGTGGTTTATTTTGATTCACTGGAAAGGATCTCAGGATTATTGCATAATTCATCTTCATATGCATGTGAATGTTGTCAATGAAGGTAGAAGTCCTTTGATGAAGCTTTAGAAGTCAAACATCTGAGCTAGTCATGGTGGATACCATCAGTGGAGAGAAAGAGATTCAGGGCATCATCTCTCTGAGCTATTTCAGGTATCACCTCATAAGTGCCTACTTTGGTTGGTGACCACTGCTCTTCATGTCACTTACTACTCAGAGCAGCATCTCTTGAATTCTGGACACACTACAGGGGGTTCACTATGCTTGAGCTCACGGGAAGCTGATTCCTACACTGTGGTATCCAGTGTCTGCTAATCAAAATCCCTGCAGCCGGAAATTCCTCAGGATAATGGGAGTCAGAATCTTTTTCATCAGCTCCCAGTCTAATCATACCCTGAGGGAGACGGGTACTAAATTACAGGGTGTGTTTGCCTCTTAAATCTGAAGGCTGTTCAGATAAACAATAACAAGCTGAGCAGGAATCACTTGGAGAGAGACTTGGTGAAATGTAATCTCTGCTCAGGTTAAAAAAAAGTTCTCTTGGAGAGCAGTACACTCTCCACACACAAGTGTCATTTGTCCAAGCTTGCATTTAGGTTTCACACCCAGGCCCACTTTGTTTACACTTTAGAACACAAAGCCCATCAACTTGAAAGAAGTTGTATCAAGTAACTGAGAGCAGATGATCATCCAGTACCAGTTAAGGAAAAACTATGCAATGACAGAGCTGTAACAATCTGTGTAAAAGGCCAGGATTTTGTGCATTTGACCTAAGAGGCCACCTGTATTACAACAAATGGAAGGTGTTTGCTTAAAACAAGATGAGAAAAGTGACTCTTGCCTCTCTTCAAAAGAAAATAACCTCTCTAGTTCGTGGCTGCAAACACTCACTACCTAAGAGTAGTCCTGTCTCACTCCACACCGAGTGTTCTGTCATGTGCTCGAAGAATAAGAAGTTTGAAAGTTTAAAAGATCAAGGAAATTATCTTCTGTGACAAGTCCTAGAAGTGGAGTTACTTGTGGCAAACCTTGAGAAGAGGCTGACATTCCATAGGCTAAACATGGGCTCTGTTGCATTGGTAGACTTCTCTGTTAGGAACAGAGTAACAGGAAAAATGGAGGGGAAGAGAAAAGCATATTCTTCACTAATCTCATGAATATGCTGTTGAGCAGCAAAGCTGTATTATCCACCTTTGTTCTGGAGAAATCACCTAACCGTTGAGAGCCAGAGTTGTCCAGTTCTCCATTTCACTGTCTGGATACATCACATTGTTGTGAAACCATGAGAGAACTATAGATATTGAACTAAATTACTCTTTGTGTCTAAAAGTTCAAGTAACTTCGCTTGTAGGCCTTTATTATTGTTTGGGGCTTTTCCAGAGTAGCCAAGTCTTTCGGGTAGGGTAAAGCTTGCTGATCCTTCAGGAATTGGAACTGACCCATCCTTCATTTGCTGCTTTGAACAATTCCAGTTCCTGAACAGCTGGTAAACTCTTGCCAGGGGTGAATCTACTTTACTTGTGAAAGGCAAGAGTCTTTCTCAGATGAAAAATATGTCTGAAATGTAAATGTTCATAATATTATCTATCCATTCATATTCATTAGAGGTTGCTGTTCAGTTGTCTGCTGTTCTCTGCTGCCTCTTCCCAATTTCAACAGTTCCAAAGGCTTGTGTTAGTAATTACTGCAGGATAACTTAGATAGATAGATAAATACTGTTCCCAGTCAAATAATGCTGCCCTCTCCTAGCATATATTGCATACCATTATGTAAAAGTACAGAAACTTCATTTTTTTACATGTCACCTGGTCAATGATCTTCCTTTGGGAGTGAGGAAAATAAACCATTTTTCTACAACAACTGTGGTAACAAAGCTTCTGCCCCTCAGTTTATGTCTCATTTAGACTAGCACAAACAGAGGGTTCCAAGGTACCCATGGCCCCATTTTGCCTTTGCAACTTCAGTCTGTGCTCCACCAGATGCTACCCAAAAGCTAGCAGGTGGAGCAATCCATGTTTTTCCTTGTCTCTATTCTCCTGGGCCAGAACAACTAAAGGTTGCCTTAGTCTTTCAATCCTGGAGCAGTGAGCAGGTCAGAGCCACCAAGCCTCTGCACACAGGATTTTTGCATTTTCTTGCATCCCTGAGCATTAGTTATTGCTGCCACCAGGAACCAACTCTCACTTTAGGGACAATTTAATTTAGGAATGGCTTCTCTGAGGCAAATCAGTGCTGTTTGTTCAACTGTACCATAGCCCACTGGTGCAACTCCCCAGAGTAATGCTTTGTGTCTTGCTTGTTGCAGTCAAGGATCAGGTAGTGCTTGTAGTAAGGTGGAGACTTACATAATGCTTTGGAACAGCAGCATTTTGAATTCTTTGGCAAGAGAAATTTTGGCACGGCATACTGGCCTTCTTAACACCCATGTGTT